AGCAGTAGGTACTGGGCTACGGAGAGCTGGTTCGAGTCCTGACACTGCCAGAGACTCCCTGCAGCACCAGGTGCGAAGGGCGCTATTCAGACCATCCTCAACATCACCTCAGACGGATGTAAGAGAGTGAGCATCCCGGTCCAAGGGACCGAGCAAACCGTTACGAGTAACTGTCCGCCCCCGTTTGAGCCCAAAGTCCCTCTGCAGACACAGCTGCCGCAGGAGGGAGCGGAGAGAGCTGAGATTTAAACACAGCTCCGTTTGCCTGTAGCACATCAGCAAACTTCCCAGCCCAGGCTGCGAAGCAGTGACAACATGTAGCATTTCATCTCGGCCCTTCTTAGCAGACCTGCCAAAGGAACTCTTTATCCTCACGCTTTGAAGCGAGCTGCTGTGTTATTTAATTTGCTACCCCCAACGGGTGAAGCACAGTAGCATTTTGGTTTCTTAAGATGCTGCGTACGCTATTTTCCCATTAATTTTTATCCTGCTTCGAACAAACAGCGCAGACAGCATGGTCCAGTGGTCGTTCCCACTAATAGCATGAACGAGCAAAGCAGATGGATTCAGTTTGTAAAAAGCAGTACAAACTCATTAGGCTGGGGAGAAACAGAGGTGGCAATATAAATAAGAGGCTAACCTCATCAAAAGAATGTATTTAATATTAACGAGGAGGGGCGGGGGGAAAATCAGCACTGCACGTGACATGAATTTCACACCTTAATTTCTTCCATGATATTTAGACCAGACTTGAGAAAAAAAAACACGTGTAAAACTTGCCAACATATCCCCAGTAGATTCCCTTACGCCATGCCCGCTCCATCTCTGGGTATTACACCTCTGCTGCCATCAACGTAATACTCTTCATCCAGCTCACCTAACGCCCTTCTGGGAAGGATATAAATGAAACTAAGGAACCACTAAAGCATCCGCGCAAACTCCCATAGACAATCTGCGAGGGACAAGCACATCCAGCAGCCAGCTGGGGACTACTTATCACACATACCAAAAAGAAACAGACATACAGCGCTCTCTCTCTCTCTCTCTCCATATCTCGTTCCATCCCTGCGCTCTCAACCCTGATCGAGGGGGACTCTACAAAACTACTCCCAAAGACAGATGTGGAAAATATAATTCACAGCTCAGCTCTCCTGGAGATCAAAAATCCTGGACTTCACCACTGTCCCCCTCCCCCACTACACTCACCCCGTTCCCCAGGCCATACACTACCTGTCTATCTCCTGGGAAATCGCTATCTCGGCGCCTCTTTTTCTCTATTCACCTATCATCGTCCCCTTGACGTTACTGCCATCAACCACTCTTTCTGCCTAAAGCAACCGTACGAGTTAAACGTGACTAATCTCTGAGCAACTGTTTGTAACACGTGTAGCTTTGAAGCCCACTGTTCCTATTTCAGATGGGAAGAAGGACCTGCATGGCCAAAAGCTGATCTAGTTTGTCTAATCCTACCTTCTGGTCCAGTAAGAGGTCTGTGCAGAGAGACCTGGCTGTTACCTCCGTGCACACAGCACCTTCTGCTGTCCCCACCTCAGCTACTGCAGCATGCAGACCATGCTATATAACAACAAGCAAATGCTTTTGGTGACCTTTGTCACCACAGCTTTCACCTTTCCTTTAAATGTCTCCGAGGATTGAGCCAAGACCTCCGTTCCTCTCCATTCTCACTTTGCACTAGTTTGTAAAGGAAGCAAAACCTTGCCACTCCGCTGCTGCGGAGTCCCCAGGAAAGAGGAGCCAGCACAGGGCTCTCCTCTGCTCCTCTCCCCACCAAGCCCTTAGGGCAGGGAGATGGCCCAAGGAGGCCAAGTGGGCAGAGTAAGGGCTTGGAGCCTAGTCAAGTTGAGGATGAGGAAGAGCAGCTGAACTGAAACAGGTGCTCCCAACACCTGAAATGAGGAAGTCGGAAATAAGGCCAAGGACCTCCAGGACTCAGGAACATGAACGGTAGCCAAAAAAAATGTAGCAATCTGGCTCAGGAGATACCCTCAGGGCTCACCTACCCACGGGAGCGTGCGCCTCAGGAGTTATGATAATATCCCGACGCATAGACAGACAAACAAGTTCAAAAGCCACCAGGGCAACTCGGGCTTGCGGGACTGGAAAACCAAGGAGCCTTCTTTTCCCACCTCCCCTGTTTTGCCAGATGCCCCCAGTATACCAAAGGCTCGGGAGGTGCTTATTCCCACATCAGATACAGCTGTGCCGTGAGGATACAGCACCTTGTTTCCCCTGTCCTGCAAGGGTTATACGTAACGACGATTGGGAGAACAGGCTTTCAAAGAGAGAGGCTTTCAAAGGAGGCTTCGTGGAGGCAGATGGGAGGCAAGCTTTGAACTAAGCCACCTCCCGTGTCTTCCCAAAGCCAAACTGCAAGGTAGAAGCATGTACATCTGGCAGCTACCGGAGCAGATGCGACTCAGAAGGCACCCAGGGATCGGGGCCAGGCAGGAGCATGGGATATCACTGAAGAGCTGTTTTTCTGAGTGTAGCCACTGTTTAGCTGAGCTAATAACGTCTGCAATCACTTCTAATGTTAGACTGGTTTCTGAAAGCCCCAGCTCTGCGCCCTCAACGCAAGGGATTGCGATTTCAGTGAATTCTCCAGTTTCTTAGCATTTTCCTGACCCCTAGTGACAAGAAGCAGCTGTTACAGCATGCACATCTTAATATGCAGTGCCCAACACTCCCTGCATAAACACAGAGCCAAGCTCACTCTCTAAGATGGAGAAAGGTTTCCAATACCATCAAAACATTCACCTTTTGCCTCTGCACATCTGCCAGAAGATCCAACCTGCTTAGCAAAGAACCTCAAATTCGGATTGCAATTAAGGAAACAAGCCAAATACAGGAAGATACCCTTGTGACAGGCTCCAGCTGTGCCTAGGGCAGCCTAGTTACATGATTAATCCGTCACCAGACTGGACCAAGCAAAGGGTGGGGAGAAGGCATTTTTGATGCATTACCTTCCTCCAGAAAAACACATCCTGGTGCAAGGAACACCGTGGCCTCGGCATGGAAGCAAACTGCATGGTCTCACCAGCGTTTCTCATGGATCAAGGAGCAAACGCCCACGGACCTGGAGAACTAGACTTGTGACGCCAGTGGAGCATTAGCTGCCAGGCACCATGCCCCCCACCCTCGTCACTGCATTTGGTTTCAAGGACAAACCAAGGATCACAGCAATAATATTCTAGTCTAACTCATTCCTATAAGATTTCAAAACCATTTCACGCCCGGCTTCTCCACGCACAGGCTAGCAACAGGTTGCCTCTTCCAGCACCAGTTCAGAAGAGAACGCATCCACTGAAGTCAAGACCCCTTACCTAAAACATCACGTGAGCAGACCAGAGAAGGCCTGATTTTTACACCAGCCTCCAATTTATTTTGTTCACCGCGCTGAGGTACAATGCAGACCTTCGCTGACTTTGATAAAATGACAGTACCACAAGTCGTCTCACACAGGATAATTAACGATTCATCTCTATTTACTGGGCCCTTTTGTCAATTTGAAGTTGTCACAGCTGCCATAAATCGCCTCCAAAGCTAAACAAACGCTTTAATTAAATCTATTATATCGCAAGAGCAATGCTTCAGATACCAATAGAGTAGTCGGTGATGAAAGAAGTGAGCCCACCCTTGCCCAAAACACCCTTTGAGGTCTGTGGGTCACCAGGGCACTCAAGTTCACCTGCTCAGAAGCCCTAAACGCAGATGCAGACTTTGAAAACACATTTCCAATGAATTCCTGAGGCACTTGAGCTGGTTAACTTTCTCCTGCTGACTAAGCAGTCATTCCCCCCCATCCACAGCACATGAGTTGTGGTCTCATCACAGAGGCAAGCACAACGCCACAGCAGCTAAAAATCTGTCCTCCCCACTCGTGGCATGCTAAGAGATCCCCTGCCTGCCCTGGTCTCCCCACTTTGGGAAAACGGGTGAAGCACAGCAAGCTCCTCTCCCTCCCAAATGGCGGGGAGAAAGGAGGAGGAAGGATGATACCAGACCTGAAGGAAAGCCCAGGGCGTCAGTTACAGGTGAAGCACACTGACGGCATAACAAGAATTTTCTAAAAGGCCTTCTGTAAGGACCAGGGCCATCCTGGCAGGGAAACTGGTTCAGACTGAGCGTCTGTCTAGCCCAGTATCCTCACTTCAGGTATAGCCTAAGTGGACCAGGGAAATGGGAGAACAGGGCAAGTACAAAACAATGCCTCTCCCAGGTTCTCCTGGGAGCTCTCCTGAGTAGCTTTCAACTACTTTCAGCCCAGGAGATCTCCTTCCCTTGACATGTTTTTTCTATTTAGTAACCCCCGCTGGATCTCTCTTGGACATGACAATCAAAGCCCTCACGTGCAATGCTGAGGAACACCCACTCGTCTTCCAAAGTACAATGTAAAACAAACACACAGCCCTGTAACTGCACCTCGGTTGAGATAAAGACTCCTTCAGCCAGTGTGATCAGCAAGAGTAAAGCTGCTGACACAGCACCAGGACGAACAACCCACCCAGCGCAAACTTTCTTCACAGCAACCAAGACAGCAGAAGCCACCGCCTTCTTTGCCGGTTAATCCCATTTGCCTTGTGAGAGGGCCTAAAATGCAAAATCCAGGTGAACTCACCGTGACTCGAAACGTGCAAATACCAACGCTAACCCCATGGGTCCACAGTTCCAAAGGGACGCCTGGAAAAGCACACCTGCAGAAAAACGACACTAAGTACATTTTTAGCACTATTTAAGTGAGGAGCCAGCACAGACCATGAAAAACCAACCGCACGGAGCAGAAGACCTCTTGTCCTCTTGTTGCTGTGTGAGAGTCCTAGGTTCCCGCAGGGAGCTTCTCCCTCCTGTGAGCAGCAAGCATCATGCTCCCCACATTGCTTCCAGGATCGCGGGCAGCGTCGCTTTGCTGCTGGCGCTCTCGGAGAAGGCAGCTGGCGTTCCTCTTCCCTCAAAAGGGATCATCGAATGTTTTAGGGAACGTGAAGCGAGAAAGGAGGAGAAAATTCACCCCAAGAGCAAAACAAATCTGGAGATGGGGAACAGCACATGGGTCTCACGTTTTGGGACCAGGTGGATTTTGTTAAAAAGGTATTGCCAAAGCAACAACAACAGCAGCAGCAGATTATTGACATGAGAGCTCCATCCAGCTACGCAGGAGCCACCACAGATACAGCGCTGCATGCACGTGACTTAAGCTGCCATCGACCTGGCCCAAAAAAAGCAGTTATAAACGAGACAAAAAGGGCGGAGGGAAGAGAGAGAGAGAGAGAGAGAGAGAGAGAGGTCCCCAGAAATCTCTTCCCAACAGGCACGCCCCTTGCATGGCACTGCAAACTACTCTGAGCAAACACCTTGCCCAACACCACTCAATTAATCATTAAAAGCAGATCTACAGAGTCCCATCTCCAGAAAAGAAGTCGAAGCAGCGCCAAGGGGGATTTTCACGTGGCAGGGGCACATTAGGAGGAGTCAGCCACAGGATGCCTCCCCAGCCACAACCGCACACAGAGGAAAACCACAGCTGCCCTGCTGCCTGCTTTCCGCAGGAGCATCCCTCTCCGCAAGGGCTCTCTCACATGTAACACCGGCAGGTCAGCTTGATTTATAACCGAGGAGAGAAAACAGCATTACCAGGGAGCTGGGTAATCGGTAGACACAGGATAATTAATCGTTTTTCTCCTGATGCTCTCCCGCCACAAAAATCCCCACCTTTAATGAGCTGAGGTGTCTGGCAAGTGCTTCGCAGCAAGCGTTGGCAAGGTAAACAGGAGCAGTTCCCAGCTGCGCTGCAGCAAAAGCCACCGAGGAAAAGCAAGGTACTGTGAGAGGTGGTGTATTTGCTTCCTCGCTCCCCCTTCCAAATCCACAGGGAGGCAAAACTCCGTCAGTCAGCTGGAAAATCATCACAGTCCCTAGGTGCACTGTCACCCAGCTGAGACATATCAGAGGCCCTGACAAGTCACCATCAAAACTGCCATTGCATTTTAAGAATCTGACTGCAGCCGGGATCGCTTGGGCACGACCTGCGGCTCCTGCAGCAGGACGTTGCTTCCTTCACCTCCTGCTTACACCATCACCTACAGGGGTGTTTCTGGCGGGCAGCACCAGGTGCGCCTCAGGCTAGAGGCGATAAACGCTCGAATGCAGAGTTGCCAGGGTTAAGATTTGTACTCCATTTCAGATAGGCACTGCTTCATCAGTTATTCATCTGGCTGCACCACCCAGCTCCCCCACCCCGGTAAGGGATGGGGAGACTCTGGCCGGGTGTGCGACTAGGACAACCCCTGCCACGTCTAGCAGCGGGCTGATGCTGAAGGCCTCAAGGTCTACAGCTTCATATCTGCAATTGTTTTCTTCTCAGGCCCGCTTTGCTTTCCGAGCCATCTCTCCCTGGACAGATATACAGCTTCTCTCAGGACGGAGGAGACGCTCGTTTTTCCTCTCCGTTACTATGGCAAGAAAAATCTATTGAGGACGACAAAAGAAAGGGAGAATTTGTTTCCCCTCAAACTTCTTGTATGCCGGCTAGAGAAAGAGTTGATGGCTAGATCTCTGTGCGACCCACGAACGCCAGGAGCAGAAGCCAGAAGGGGCACCAAAGAGTACCCACAGGGAACGTATGTCACGTTATATTAAAAAACTCCCCACAATCACTTGCTTTGCAGGCACTGAGCTGCAGGACGTGGCACAAATCCAGCAGGCCAGAAGACGACAAGCGGACCAACAGCACGCAGCATCCCTGCGGGCCCGGCTCCCCGGGCAATGGGAGCACCCACCTAAAAAAGACTACGTACGCTCCCCTAGTTACGCCAGCTATTGAACCACGCGCACCCTGCCCGAACGAACGCAGCCTTCGGGGCTCACAATTATCGTTGCCCGGGGGGTACCTAGGGGCTAGGAGAGCAGCTGCAAGGATGGCCACGGTAACCGCGTGCGGCTCCACAGCTGCCACTCGGCGCTGCTCCTCTCCAGCCCGCTCCGCCTTTTGCTGCAGCCAGGACGCTGCAACAGGTTAAAGGAAAATCAAACCAAAAAGAAGCAGCCCTACGGGAAAGGGACTGGCAGCTAAGAACCACCAGACAGGCGCTGCCTCTGCGCACGGGGGTTCAGGAGACGACTGCGTTTTAGCAACACCCCAAGGCCTGGCAGCGGGG